AGTGGCCGAAGCTGCACAATTTGAACAAGAAAATAAGTGATGATCACATTGGATTATAATCCACAGAATAAAAGAAACATCTGTGTGTCTCTGAATGAGTGGATGGATGGATGAGTAAACTCACGAGAGGAGAGAGGAGACGGGTGCTTCTGTCAAGAGAGTTTCAACTAATATATGTAGATGAATAGAGAAGGGAACATTACTGCTGAACACTGCTTTCTGTAGGCAGGATTCACTGGTGGATACTAAAAGTAAAGGACGAGACTTTGAGGAGAAAAAAAGGTGTGCATATTTTCCCATTTAGATTAGCACATCACTGTCACTTAAGGGCCATAGTTCACATGATGGTTCACTCTTGGCGTTATACGTTTTATGTGTTTGCACAAGTGTATGATGACTTGTATCCACAATTACGGCATTCACACGGAGTGGTTTCACTGCTCTAAAAATCCATCTTTGATGTGCTTTTAGGAGCTTATGAAGATTAAAAAGGAGTGGAGGGGCATCTGTAAAACAAACTTCCCAAAGGAATATAAATATAGTTTGGCATAAGTGGGCAAACAGAGTGGCTAGCATGAGTGCCTCTTCACATAGCTCAAAGAGCCTGCTGCTAGTGGCCGTGCAACTCAAGGTGACGTGAATCATAGGAAACTGTGTGAGTAATGCCCATGAATCACCCAAAATGTCTATAAATCTTGAACATCACCTTCTCTTGCATTCTATTTGCTTTTACTGGAGACTAGCTTTTGCATCAGAGAGAAAGAAAAGTCACTTAGACTTACTCTCTATCATGGTTACCTCAAACGTGTAATGTCTAAAATGATTCTTGGAAGAAGAGACCAGGCCTGTTATCTGGGTTGTTTGTTGTGGCATTTAGACACATTGAACTTTTTCAGTAATTTGGAAATCAAAAGAGGACTATGTTTACCCAGTGGATTACTTTGGCCCTAGTTTAGTTTATTTAAAAATTGTAGATGCCCTTTCCATGGATGTAAAACTTTGAATAATACCAGCACTTCCTTATTAGATAGTAGCCAACAACTTCTTTCTTTCTTTTTTTGAGACAGAGTCTCACTATGTCACCCTCCGTGGAGTGCTATGGTGTCACAGCTCACAGCAACCTCAAACTCTTGAGCTTAAGCAGTTCTCTTGCCTCAGCGTCTCAAGTAGCTGGGACTACAGGCACTCGCCACAACACCCAGCCATTTTTTGATGCATTTGTCATTGTTGCTTAGCTGGCCCAGGCTGGGTTTGAACCCACCCCCCTCGGTGTGTACATGGCTGGCACTGTGCTGTGGGCGCCAAGCCAATGACTTCTTTTTTACAAAACTTTTGTTTCTGTGTTGTCACTAAAAAAGTAAAATTTATTTTTGTTTTTGTTCAACTTTAATAGAAGAAAATTTTTTAAATGCTTGGGCATGCTGGGCACAGTATCATCTCACTCCTATAATCCCAGCACTCTGGGAGGCTGAGGTGAGTGGATTGCTTGAGCCCAGGTGATCAAGACCAGTTTGATCAAGAGCAAGACCCCATCTCTACCAAAAATAGAAAAATTATCTGGATGTGGTGGCAAGTGCTTATAGTCCCAGCTGTTTAGGAAGCTGAGGCAAGAGAATCGCTTGAGCCCAAGAATTTGAGGTTGCTGTGAGCTATGACACCAGGACACTCTAGCCTAGGCAACAAAAGTGAGATTCTGTACCCACCCCCCCAAAAAAGCTTGGCCAAAGAATAGGTATTGAAGGAAAAAGTCAACTTGGACTGCATAATCCACAAGAGACATAGTATAAATCCTCAATAACCGAACAGTTGTCCTCGTTTCCACTTCTAGGACCCAAAAGTGTGGGCTGCGTCTGTGTGACGACTCCCTGTAGCTGGTTTCAGCAGTGCAGTCAAGAAGTGTTCAGGGGTGGAAGAGATCTCAAATCACCCAAATCACCTTATTTAATTCTTCTATTTAGAAATGAGAAAGCAGGGGCAGAGAGGGGAAATGTCTTACCCTAGAAACAGAAAACTGAAGGAGAACATGGCGGGCATGAATTTTTATATCTGAACACCTGAGGCCCATTTCTATAATACTCTGAATTGTTTCTAGTTTTTTTCCCCAAAGAGTGTTATGAAATTCTCAGTGATATTTTAAGATTGCCGTATTTTCTAGGAGTTTGTAAGTAGACATCACATAATAAAAAGGATATTATGACTTGTAATAAATTTACATGTGACACTGTAGCTTCCAGGGGTGAGATGGAGAATGTAGAAAAGAACAGTTGATTTATAGGCTGGCTTCAGAAACAACTACCAGTTATTAGCCCTTTAGCTGAGCTCTTTTTTATTACTAGCTCATTCAGTACAGTTCATTGAATTCTCCCTTATATGTGGCAGAGCTAGAAACAATTTGCAAGATGAGAAAATGCCAGATAAAAAAGGAAACGCTAAAGAGAAAACATTTTGACAGGTATTAGAAAAGTCAAGGTATAGAGATTTAAATTGGGGAGTTGGGGGAAAGTGAAGATAGCAAGAGGAACAATAAGACAATTTTAGGGGCTACTAAATGGAGAGGAATGGTGACTACCCAGGGAATGCAGGAGCAAAGCAGCTGTCAGTGACAAGAGGCTGTGAAGCAAGACTGTTTCGCAATAGATTTGAATGCTGGCCACCTAACAGTAGAAGGGACTACAGGCCCTCGTTTCCAACTTTCCTTATATTCTTGGCAGACAGATGGTCATTCAACCTGGTGCTACTCCTGAGATCTAGTCTGCAGACTGATCTGCAAATTGTCACCTGTGCCCGATAATTGAAGGGCAGACATGGGGAGTAAGAGTGTAGAAACTTGTACAGCAATTGGATAAAGTAATATTCATCTGTTGAATCTAATGATAAAATCCTTGGGACCTATATTTTTTATGGCCTTTTAATTTCATTTTCTAGTAATTTGTATGCTATTTTACAAAATGTTCATCTGGGATGGGTTGGAAATATATTTTTCTTTTTTCCCCTCAATGGATTGGAAATATCAAAACATACCAGGAGTAATGTGAGAGGTACCAAATCCCTTGCTACTCAGAGAATGGTCTGGAGACCAACAGCACCCGTACCACCTGAGAGCTTGCTGCAAATGAGACGCTCAGGCCTCACCACTGACCTTCTGAATCAGAAAAGTCTTGTTTTACCTAAATCCCCAGATGGTTTATGTGAAGATTAACATTTGAGAAGCACTAGGCCCTGATCCTTTTAGCACTGGACAGATAAATTTGTTAGAAGGTTAGAAGGTTCTTCATTACTGATGGAGCTTATTGTACCCAGCATCACCAGAAAAAATCTTCCATGTGACAGCACTTCAGACATTTAAGGACCACTGTCAGCTACAAATAATTACTGAACATCCTGTCCTTGTAAAATGCTAGGCTAGATTGTAGGGTTATAATGATAAAGAGGACTCTGGTCTCAAGGAGCTTACATTTAAAGGAAGTGGTACAGAAATAACAAAGGACAGAACTTAGTGATTTCATAATACGATTTATATCCCAGTAAAATTGATAAAGTGCTGGGGGAATTTGTAGCAGGAGAAGTTATTTTTGAACTGCAAAGAGATGAGGGAGGAGGCGCAGCCAGCAGCAGGGTGAAGGGATCTGGAAAAACTTGTGGAACAATTGGCTTTGGAACTGGTTTTGCAGAGATGGGTAGGAATAGGGTGTTCAGGGATGGTGTTGGAGGGAGGTGGGATAGGGTGATGGGAAAATTTGAGGGTGGGTGTCAGGATCTGAATTTGAACTGTAATTATAGTATTGTTATTTAACCTTCAGATATGTAGAGACTTTGTGGGTATACTAATTTTTTTTTTCCACGGGCTTTGGAAAGGATTGCATTTTATAAAAGTCTAAAGTGGTCCATTGTCTGTACTCCACCACCTGCTGGAAAAAACTGTCCTTTATAGGGACCCTTGTTCATTGTGAAAACATGTGACGGTAAAGACATCTTAAAAAAAAAACAAACAATAAAACCAATCCAATGATATGGGTCAAAAACACAAAAAAAGAATAGAAAGTGTCCTTGTGACCTCTTCCTATTTGCTTGGTTCCCCTCATGCTAACGCTGTCCATAGCACTCACAGGTACAGCTGTCACTTGTTTGGGCATGGGTTACTTTAAAATATGAGGAACTCTAACTCTTTCTTTTTTGAGACAAAGTCTCATTATGTCACCCTCGGTAGAGTGCCATGGTGTCAAAGAACTCTAATTTGAAGCTCCTCTATCTGAAAACAACCCCAGAGTCCCATAAATAGGAAAGTGGGGCATTATACAACATAAAGAACAAAGAACCTCTGTGATATGCATACTTCTGTAAAGTGAAAAACAACTTAAATTTAAAATTATCTATTTCATGGATTCAGTCATGAAGGAGGAAGCAGGAGACAATTGTATAAACAACTTAGGATTGTTGTCACTTCAGACCTGGGGGTGGAGGGTTGGGCCGGTGGGAGGACCGTTTGGTTAGGAGGAGGGCAGTGTGAAGGCTGTAGCTTTTGACCTGAGTGGTAGATCAGTGGAGTCATTGTTATATTATCAAAAATAGGTAATTAAATACATTTTAAAAATAAGCTTAAAAGGACTGAGATTTCTACAGCCAAATAGAGATTCATGTATAAGTGTTTTGTTTTTAAGTAGCATTTTGAATCTTAGTACCACTGTTTTATAGTTGGAAGTTACAAAAATGTATAGCTCTAAGGTTAACAAACTGAATTTTTAGGTGGGGATGCATATACTGTTAAGTGTCATACTTTATAGAGTATTTAGTACATAAGTATTTATAGCTATTTCTGTTCTTTCATAGAAATTTCACATTTTTTTCCCTCTCTTAGGACAAAGTTAAACTATAATCCTCCAAAAGATGATGGATCAACTTACAAGATTGAACTTGAAGGGATATCGGTAATGATTATGAGAGAGATCCTGGATTACATCTTCAGTGGGCAGGTATGATGAGAAACAAAGGAAGGAGGACCTAAGTAGAGACTTCTCAAGCTCAGGGTGAGGGTCTCCTTTCATTCATTATATGACAAAGTAATACTGTCACCTTCATTTTCTGTCACTGTGTGCTTTGACTAGTGTCTCCTGCTGATAGTGGCACCCCCTGCGTGTCCTCGTGAGGCTCTGCTCCTAAAAGAGAAGCAGATGAAGTGAGAACTTAGCCCCAGATTTTTCATTTATTCCATCCTGAGCTCCAACGTCAGTATGAGATACGAAGAATGTAGGCTGCTGTTATCTTGTTTGTACCCACACTATTGATGAGCTTGCTCTGTCTCCAGAGCATTCCTTGGGCATCAGGAATTACTGTGTAGAAAGAAAGAAAGAAAGACTTCCTTATAGATCATTCCCATGAGAGAGGGTTCCCACAAATGTCGGGCATCCTTATCATTAGACATTCATGATGCCCTGATCTGTTGCCTCCGTAGTTCCAACATCCCGGCCCACCCAATCTTTCTTGCTGATCTCCTTTCCTCTCTGTGCCTACTTGAACTTTTGGAGACGTAATGATACCTGGAGAAGAGAGCAATATGTGATGAGATTTCTTTCTTTTCCTTTGCTCTCCTCTGACCTTCCCACAACCCGCATTACATGATTTCCAGTGAGGCATGAGGGGTCTTAAGATAAGTCTTAGGAGTGAATCTGGGCTGGTTTTTTCAACAGAAAGAAGAGGTTGGTATGTCTGATGGGTGTTTGGTTGTGTGAGAATGCGTTGTGTCTGTTCTTCCTGAGATCTCCTTCTCTGCTCTCCTTTGCCTTCTCTTCACTTGTTTCACTGTCTCTTTCTCCAGGAGCTCTTTCTCTTACGTATTTCTTAAGTATAATGAGCATATGGCTGTCTTTGTCTAAATAGATTCTTTCTGTCCAGCATCAGACTCAGTGAGTTTTCATCGTTGTGAGTTTTGGGTTTGATCTCATGACATTATCCCTTTCTCTTTTCCGTACACACTAGGTGGTAGGTGTGTGTGTATGTATTATTGTTTTTTGTTTTTTGAAACAGCGTCTCACTTTGTTGCCCTTGGTAGAGTTCCATGGTGTCACAGCCCACAGCAACCTCAAACTCTTGGGCTTAAGTGATTCTCTTGGCTCAGCCTCCCAAGTAGCTGGGGCTGTTTTTTAGAGATGGGAGTCTCCCTCTGGCTTGGGCTGGTCTCGAACTTGTTAGTTCAGGCCTCTCAAGTGCTGGGATTACAAGCGTGAGCCACTGCACCCAGCCTTATATATATGATAAATAAATGAATTCAAATTAATTTGGGGGCAGCCTTTAAAATACTGGAGATACTCTGTAACAGCACAAAACCAAGTTTAAGACCAATGTCTTATCTAACTTGTAAAGTCAAATCAGCGGCAATTATTAACATAACAAGTTATAAGCCAAAAAGAGCTTGGATTTGAAACTTGAAACCTTATTTACAGATTGACTTCTGTGATTTGTTCCCAATTTAAATTTGAAACCATAGTTGCAGTGTAAGTTATAACAAACTCCTGAATTGGCAGTTTAGTTTTATTGAGATGCAGTTTAGTGTTTATTTGCATGCCTATATTTGTATAGCCTACAGCTGCCTGCCGTCTTGCGGCTAAATGTAATATCATATAAATGGAACATTTTCCTTTACTTGTAGCTTACTCAACACACTACTTTCCACACTTTTGTTGCTCAGTTTCTAAGACAATTGGCAGTTAAAAACTTTTTTGTGGCTCGGC